AAAATTTTAAAGTCAACGAAACAACATACAGGATCCAGATGCCCTGTGTATCTTCCATCTTTCTTAAACTTATTCTCTTTACATTACTTTACTCTCTCTTTAAAGACTTTACTTTATTGTTTTCAAACTATTTTTTCTGTGACTGTCTATACCCATTTTCTAATTTTCTTTAGCACCTAAATACATTTTAAAACATATTGTACCTGTTTAAGGTTTTTTGTTTTGTTTTGTTTTATTAGTCTAGACCTTATTGTTTGTATGCTTGTAGCTGTGTGCTTTGAGAAGACAAATCTTTATTTTTTTTCTGAGACAGGGTTTCTCTGTAACTTTGAACCTAGCTCTTGTAGATCAGGTTGGCCTCAAACTCACAGAGATCTGTTTGCCTCTGCCTCTCAAGTGCTGGGATTAAAGGCATGCATCATCACCACCCAGTCTGAGGAGATAAATCTTAAACTACCGGGCTATACACTGGTGTTTGCCTCTATCCCCTTCAGTTGGTGAGAACAGAACCTCATGCCTATGGGGACCAGCCTGGAACTGGTCTCTCCTCCCAGGCTCTGGGAAATTTCTGGGTCCACTGTGTGGTAGGCATTTTGACCTAGTCTCCCACCATCAAGTAGCGCTACTCACTGCTCATAAACCCCGTTCAAGTGCCTGGTAGCAGAGGCTCCTAAAAGATATGTACCTCTGTACACAATGATACATCTTCACAGTGTCCAAAAAGATTGTTCCACAACAGTGGGGATGGAATTATACATAGAGCTCTCAAACAATGAATATGAATGGTGGAGAAACATTTTAAAGTATTTAACGTCTCTAGCTATTGAGAAATGCAAGCTAAAAGTACATTGTGATTTCAGTTTACTCCAGTCAGGGTGGTTAAGTTTAAAAACCAATGATGACAGATGATGTCATGAACATGGGAAAGAGAAACACTCATCCATCGCTGGTGGGAGTACTATATATCACTACTATAGAAATCAGTGTGAAGGTTCTCAAAAAGTTGAAAATAGACCTAACACATGACCAAGCAATATAACTCTTGGGCATAAATCCAAAGGTCCCTATGTACTTCTGTAGATGTACTTGTTCATCCATGTTCATTGTTGCTCTGGGACATGAAACATCCTAGATGCCCATAGACTGCAAAACAGATAATGAACATGTGTTACATTTGCTCAATGGAAAGCTATTTAGCTGTTAAAAAGGACAAATTATGAAATTCTCAGGTAAATGAATGGACATTTTTCCCTTTGAGTTTTTTCTTTTCTTTTCTTTTTTTGCTTTTTTTTTGAGATAGGGTTTCTCTATGTTACATCCCTTGCTAACCTGGTACTCACTTTGTAGACCAGGTTGGCCTTGAACTCACAGAGATCCACCTGCCCCTGCCTCTGGAGTGCTGGAATTAAAGGAGGAAATAATCATTCTTAAAGACATAACCCAGACCCAGAAATACTGAAGTCATATATTTTCTCTCTTTATGGGTTAGCTTTGAAGCTTTAAATATGTATGTTATTTTTGGAATACCTATAGAGATGAGGAAATTAGTAAGGGCCCATGGGGTGATATTTTTTTAAATATTTATTTATTTATTATGTATGCAATATTCTGTCTGTGTGTATGCCTGAAGGCCAGAAGAAGGCACCAGACCTCATTACAGATGGTTGTGAGCCACCATGTGGTTGTTGAGTATTGAAGTCAGAACCTTTGGAAGAGCAGGCAATGCTCTTAACCGCTGAACCATCTCTCCAGCCCCCCTCCCATGGGGTGATATTTCAAGAAAGAGGAAGTAGAATATAGGGATGTAAGAAAGGGCTAAAAGAAAATAATGGCACAGGGAGGGTTAAGTGAGGAACTGGATAGGAGGGTAGGCTAGAAGAGGGAACACTGGGAGGGACAACTAACACTAAAGACGTTTTGAAAAAGTTCTTTCTACTGTAGAAGTTTTGTGTGTGTGTTTATGTATGCATGTATACATATATTATACACTGTAGTCGCATTTCATTTGTGTTTTAATAAATAAAGCTTGCTGGAGGATCAGAAAAGTAAAACAGCTACAGTGTCCAGCCTTACAGACCAGGCAGCAATGACACACACCTTTAATCCCAGCAGCCACAGTAGCTTGCCATAGAAACCAGGCAGTAGTGGTGCACGCCCTGAATCCCGGAACTAGGGAGGATTATATAATGGGAGGAGACAGCTATCAGGCTCAGTCTTATTCTGAGTTTTCTGGAGGCAGGATTGCCATTTCGGACTGAGGTAGAGGTTAGAGTCAGTGACTGACTGTTTTGCTTTTCTGGCCTTCAAGTTGAACTCCAATTTCTGTCTCTGAGTTTTTATTAGTTGTGCTTCAATACACATAAAGAATTAAAATGGCATTACCTGTAATGGTGCACAATGCCCCATTAGGCAGGACAAGCTAACAACTAAGAATCCTAGTGCCAGGAACAGGTTACCTATTTTGGAGTTGTTCTCTAGTGAGAGCCTATTTTTTTTTAAGATTTATTTATTTATTATGTGTACACTATTCTCAGTATTCTGTCTGCATGTATGCTTGCAGGCCAGAAGAGGGCACCAGATCTCATTACAGATGGTTGTGAGCCACCATGTGGTTGCGAGTCACCATGTGGTTGCTGAGTATTGAACTCAGGACCTTTGGAAGAACAGGCAGTGCTCTTAACCACTGAGCCATCTCTCCAGCAATGAGACCCTATCTTAATCAGGGTTTCTATTGCTTTGAAGAGACACCATGACCATGGCAACTTTTATTAAGGAAAACATTTAATTGTGTGGCTTACAGTTTTAGCGGGTTGGTCCATTATTATCATGGTGGAACTTAGTGGCCTGAAGGCATAGTGCTGGAGCGGGGCATGAGAGGTCTTCACATTTTGAATGGAAGGCAACAAGAAGTGTTCTGAGACACTGGGTAGTATCTTTAGCATAGAAGACTTCAAAACCCACCCATACAGTAACACATTTCCTCTAACAAGGCCATACCTACTCCAACAAAGTCATACTTCCTAATAGTGCCACTTCCTCTGGGGGCCATTTTTTCAAACCACCACAGGTCCCATAGACTTCAAATATTATAGAGTATTGTCATTGCTCTTAGTTATTCTCCAGAACTCTATGGTGAGTCCCTGAAACCGAAGACATCATATACTTGAGTCATAAAACACAGAAAAGATAAACTGCCTCTCATCTGGAAGCCTCATTCTTGGCTCGCTTTCACAGTGCTGTGCATGCTACTAAAGAAGAAAAGCCATCGTTCTTCCTCTGCAGTTGTGAACACTATGAGTTACAATAATGATCAGCTGTCAAGATATGCCCACTGGTGCAATAGCAGCACAAATGTCATAGAAGTAACCCACCCAATTTCTGATTGGATTTAAAGTCCACTCCACTAATTGAAATTAGAACATATACCCGGACACTAGTAGGCCACTGGAACTTAGCACACTGATGCCATGATGGAAGTACCATTGAGGCCATAAACCTCAGTATGTGTATAGGCACTGCCACCTGTCAAAATAGTAGTTCTCAGCCTTTCTCATGCTGTGATTCTTTATTACAGTTCCTCATATTGTGGTGACTCACAACCATAAAGTTATTTGGTTGCTACTTCATAACTGTAATTTTGCTACTTTTATGAATCATAACGTAAATATTTGATATGCAGGATATCTGATATTCAACCCCTGTGAGGGTTACAATCCACAGGTTGAGAACCTCTGTGTCCAAAATGAAAACAAAGACCTAATTCATCAAAGTCCACAGATCTGGGAAAGTCTCTAAAGGTACTAAGCTTGCTTTTTAGTTTCTGTAGTCCTGCTCTGGCTGTCCTGGAACTCACTCTGTAGACCAGGCTGTCCTGAAACTCACAAAGATCCACCTGCCTCTGCCTCCCCAGTGCTGGGATAAACGGTGTGCACCACAACACTCAGTTTAAGCTAACTCTTCTTGCTGAGGTGTGTTAAGACAGGATGTGGTTTTGTGCTTTAAAGTTCACCCCAAGAAAGGCTTGGGGCTGCACAGGGATCCTGAGCACCCAGTGTAGTTACTGCTCAGTTAATAAAGACTTTCTATGGGGACCTGTGTCCAAGTAGTCTTCTCTGATGGATGTTCCCAAACAGAAACTTGTGCTTAACACTGTTACTGAGGTCAAGAACCTGTGGCTAGAGGGTTCTTGTACTGGGGGAGACTCAACTACTACGACTTTGTGAAATGGACATGGTATTAAACCAACACCGAATGGCTTATTGTATCCACAGGTCAGTGCAATTCTCAACCTTCATCAGAGCTTACTTTTAAATAGATGTTGACGAACAAAGAGTATGATCAGAGAAAGCCCAAGAAGAATATGGGTATCCAGTACTGTTGTACACAGTGAAGTTGCGCTGTGCAACAGGGCTCACATAGGAAGTTATTGAAAGAGGAGAGAAAAGGGGGAAGAGAAGGGGGCAGAGAGGGGGGCAGAGGCCAGTCCCTGGGGACAAGAGTGGTGGAAGAGAAAGAGAGAGAAGGAGAAAGAGAAAGAGAGAGAGAGAAAAGAGAGAAAGAGGGAGAGAGAAACAAAGAGAGGGAGGGAGGAAGGGAGGAGGGAGGGAGAGAGAGAGAGACAGACAGACAGACAGACAGACAGACAGACAGACAGAGGAGGTGAAAAGGGAATGGAGCAAATGTGCCCAGGGGATGCTCTCAGTGGCTGCAACTGAGGACATATCCTGTCAGGACCCAAGGGCAGGCCAGTACAGATGCCTGAATACTAGCAAGTCCAGCGGGATCAGTAGTATGCTCGTTAGAGCGCACAATGCTAGCCAGAAGGGATGAAAACCAGTGGGAGATACGCTGGACCAGGGAGCTTGACTCTAGTGCTGCTGCTGCAGCCACGAACAGCATTGACTGTGAGCTGGAAGGCACTCGCCACCTTCTGTGAGTCATATTTGAGACACCCACCCCTAGGCTGAAATGCTTTGGTCACTTCATCACCCCTCCCTTCTCATTTCCTGCGTCTGCTAAAGCTGACTGAACCCACAGAGCCATTTCATCTTGTTTGGACAACACTTCCCTCTTCACAGTCACTACTTGGCCTGGAGCTGGATCTCAGGTTGCCAGGACAGTTAAAGCACAACGTAGCCCTCCATGGAGCTGCCTTACTACCACGGCCCGCTAACCAAGCAAGAGTGTGAAACCCTGCTCCTCAAGGGCGGGGAGGATGGCAACTTTCTGTTAAGAGACAGCGAGTCTGTGCCAGGAGTCCTGTGTCTCTGCGTCTCGTGAGTAGCCTTGCCTTCATGAGTTGAACCCTGATGGCAGCCATATACTCAAGGAGTTGTATCTAATGCTACTTTGCAGTGCTAAGGAGTCAAATATAGCCAGGAGAGGCTAGAAGGATGTGACTACCCAGCTCTTCGGCTTTCCTTTCCTTCCCGGTTGTAGATGCTATATGAGCAGACCCTGAGATAGCAGAAGTAGGGATGGCAGGGAAGGAAAATAAGAGGGTGATGGGTAGAAGAAAGAACTGTCAGAACACGGTCTCCTCTCCGTATCTCTCTCCGTATTTGATATGGAAAAGTCGAGGGACCCTTTAGAATGCTGAAAGGCTCTTTGGCTACATTCTCTTGCAATATCTCAAGTGCTAATATTTCATACTTTGCTTGGTAAAAGACTTTATAAGCAGCATTTCTTTGTTTCTTTTTATCCTTTTTGTGGCCTTTTGAGGCAAGCAAATGCGACCGTCATTTTTATAGATGAAGAAATAGAGAAACAGCGAGTCCTTGATCACGCCTGTTCCAGACGTGGAGGAGGGCCTCTTGAGAGGCGTAGTGATGGGTGCAATGGTGACGGCAGTGGGGGAGAGAGAGTGGGCTTAATTCTGAATCTAGAGTGAACAAGTAAGAACTCATAGCGACAAACAGGATAGGGGTCAGTACACGGAAAAGTACTAAGAGGGCACTTCAGAGAGAAGAGAAGCGCAGGCTGAAAGGAACCCCGGGTTTTAGCTGCGTAAAGGCCTCCATGATTAGATATCATCTGGTGGATGGCGGTGGATGGAAGAAGCCGATGAGATACTGAGGGTGCTCAGATAGTACCAGGATCCTTTGATAAAGCTGAATTTTGTAATCAAAATGCACAGGTGGGCAGGGAGGTTTAGGAGCTCGGCTGAAGTCTGGGCAGATAAAGGGCTGTTGTCCCTGTAGGAGAGATCTCTTGGGCTTCTTAGAGAAAGTTTCTTAGAGGAAATTGAGAAGGCAAAAATGACTGTCATTACTAACTGATATGGGGGGGGACCTTTGTTTCTTTAAATGGTGCCTGGAGAAATGGGGGTGTGAGAAAGTGTGGGAAAGTCCATCCCAGCTTCTGAAGCCAAACGTGATTTTCAGGTTGTTTGTGTGTCCGCCTGTGGTTTCACATGTCAGAGGCCTGGTCCCCAGGTAGTAAGTAATATTAAGAGATGGAACAAGGGGAGACCATCGGTATTGGAACTTTTACCTTTGGAAGGATCTTAGGAGATGCTAGGTTAGTTCTTCCTAAGTGGGAAGTTATAAAAATAGTAAGACTGGCCCTTCCCCTGACCCTTGTTCTGGATTACTGTCTCTCCATGTGATCTCTCCCTCTGCATGATGCCATCTGCCACTATGTGATACAGCCAAGTGGGCCTTCGCCAGACCTGGGCCATACTGAGCAGATGAGTGGCAAGTGCCGGGATAGGAACTTCAAACTGATAAGGAGAAAGCGTTAATCCCAACGTGGAGAATAAGACCACTATCACAATTTGAGCCAAATTTAAAGCAAGCTTGATTTTTTTTTTTAAATGGGGCACATCCAAGAGCTGGCTGGTGACTGCCTCCTAAATTGAGTTAAAGAGAACAGTCCTGAATCCATTTCTTGGGCACTTTTTGAGGAGTAAAATCATGAGTAGTTTTACAGAAGAGAGACAATGGGGCAATAAGGAAGTTAAAAAAAATCTCAAAAAAGAAAAAAAAATCATATGATCGCCATGATGATGGTGGTCACCTGATTAGGGAAGGTTTAGAGAAGGTTCAGGAAGGTTCAAGGAGGGTCAGGGAGGGTCAGGGAGGGCCAGAGAGGGTCAGGGAGGGTCAGAGAGGGTCAGAGAGGGTCAGAGAGGGTCAGGGAGAGTCAAGGAGGGTCAGAGAGGGACAGGAAGGGTCAGGGAGGGCCAGGGAGGGTTAGAGAAAGTCAGGGAGGGCCAGGGAGGGCCAGGGAGGGTTAGAGAGGGTCAGGGAGGGTCAGGGAGGGTCAGAGAGGGTCAGAGAAGGTCAAGGTAGTCTTAAAAACAAGTCTGAGTCAGGGGTTGGGGAATGTCAGGTTCCTGGAAACAGAGAGCAACTCAGCTATTACAGCAAATAGAAACTTACGATTAACAATATAACACAATGGCTCTTGCCTTCAAAATAGAGCCAGGAAGATTCCTCATTAGTCCTAAAACTAGTGCTACACCATTGTACCTCTGGAGGAAGTGATCAGAACTACTTAAGAAGGAATACATGGCAATAGGAAAAAGTGAGACTGGACCCATCTTGGCCAGGACCCCAGAGTACATGGTCTGCACTGAGATTCTCTTTAAACTCTTAGCTTCCCTGAGGTGAGAACCCAGCTCATATATTCATCTAGAGCAAAGGCAACTTAGACTTGTTTAAAAACAACAACAACAACAAAAGTCAAATGAGAAAAGGAATAAATGAATAAATCTTTGCTGAGCACCTTCAGAGGATCAAGCTTCACCCTCCTCGCTGCCCAGGTCATTGAAGAAGAAGAGATCATGTCCTCACCCATGTCAGAGAAGAGCCAATGAAATGCTATGTGGGCTCAGACATCAGGTGTAGGTCAAATGACCCTAGTGACCTCATCATAGACTTATGATCATCATTATTTAAAGTTTCTCACAGGCCAAGCACTGTGCTATGTTCTGAGCTGATACCTTCACTACAGGCCCAAGCCTAGTAGAGGAAATTAAGAAGACAGTGAACCCTGTGGGGCATGCAATTGGTATGATGATTAGAGAGAGTATCGCGGTGTACTGTGGGAGCCGACAGTGAAGAATGACCAATACAATGAGGAGCAGAGAGCCTCACGTTGGTGCTGAGTCTTGGAGGATAAACAGAACCTTCTTTTATCCATTCAGCAAGTGTACACTGAAGTTCTTTAGGTTCCAGGCATAGTCGTAAGCATTGAAACCCAGTGACAAGTAGTGGAGGAAATGCCCCTTTGTGGAGATCCTTGTAGTAACTAATGTTACCCTATTTTATGAGGGGGGAGGGACTTGTTCTTGTTTGTTATTTGTTTTTTGGTGTGTGCGTGTGCGTGTGCTTGAGACAAGATCTCACAAAGTCCAGGTATTCATCACTACATAGCTCAAATTTGTCTCAAAAGCACAGAACTCTGTCTGTCTTCACCTCCTAAATGTGATTATAAGTATGCACCATCCAACTGTTTATATAGTATACTATGTCTTGACTTTACTAATGTCCCCTGAGTCACTGAAATATGTTCAGGGTAGTTATCTCAGAACTATGCTATAAAGTGCCCAAGCAGGGAACCTGAGCCTTGGCTGTGCCCACATATCCAGAATCTTGCCATTCTGCTTGCCAGAGACAAACCCCTTCTTTGTTGCACTATATGGACTTCTGAGCTGTTACCGAGCCAAGTGAGGAAAGTAAGAAAAGTTAGAGATAAAGGAGGGAGGATAGCAGTGGTGGCTCATGCTTGTGGACCTAGCAATTTGGATTGCTAACCTGGCTAATAGAGTGAGGCCCTGTCTCAAAATTCCAAAAAGAGAAAGGAAAGAAGGAAGGAAGGAAGGCTGAAGGAAGGGAAGGAAGGAATGAAAGAGGAAAGGAAGGAAGGTAACGGAGGGAAGAAAAGGAAGGGAGGAAAGGAAGGAGGGAAGAAGGAACTGAAGAGGAAAGGAAGGAAGGGAATGGAGGGAAGGAAGGGAAAGAAGGAGGGAATGAAGGAGGGAAGGAAGGAACAAAGGAAGGAAAGAGGGAAGGAAGGAAGGAGGGAAGGAAGAAAGGAGGGAAGGAAGGAGGGAAGGAAGGAGGAAAGGAAGGAAAGAGGGAAGGAAGGAAGGAAGGACCATTTAGCTAGGCATGATAATGTATGCCTGGAATCAATTCCAGCCCTTGAGAGGGAGGGGCAAAAAGGATCTGGAGTTCGAGGCCAGATTTGGCTACACAATATAAGTTGAGGCTAGCCTGAGCTATACAACATCCTGTTTAAAATATAAATAAAAGGAGGAAGAAGATGAGGAGGATAGGAAGAGAAACTAATGAAAGGTGTGGGAAGCCCCAGAGAATGTCAATCTAGCAGCTTGGTCAGAGAGCTACAGTACATATGGACAGGAAACCACATCTGATCATCCAAAACAAGAGAGCTAGAAAACCTCAATGTGTGAAATGTCTGTGCAGTGCGACTTCGTGAAAGTGAGGAAATTGAAACTGGCTCTGCCTTTGCACCTGTAGATTCCAGACAGGATACACACTGGGGAGTGAAAAGGATTCATCCGAGGAAAGATTCCATCAGGGGAAGGGCAGACTTCCTGTAGCCAGAGAGGCTGTAGGTGTTGTTTACATTGAGGGGATTGGGGCAATGACTCTCTGTCATCAGAGTTGCAGCTTCCAGATCTTTAAAAAAGGGTTCAGAAAGAAAAGCGATAATCTGAACAGCTATATTGTCCTTAAGACATATACAAACGCCTTCAAGAAAAACCAAAGGGCTGGTTGAAGTTCACTGATAAAGAATTAGTCTATTATACACAAGGCTCTGAGTTCAATCATAGTACCAAAATACAATTACTACTACTAATGTAATTCTCAAAATAAAATTTAAAACTGGGCATGGTGATTCTTGCCTGGGTTCCCAGTATGTAGGAGGTTGGGGTAAAAAGATTGTCATGGGTTTCAGGACAGCCTGAGCTACCCAGTGAGTTTCAGATCAGTCTGGAATATGGTGTGAAACCTTGTTATAAGGGCAAGAAGAAAAAGAAAAAAAAGAAAGTGGGAAGGGAGAAAGGTAGGAATAAGAGAAAGAAAAGAAAGAAGAAAAATAACCATTAACATGTATAAAAACGGAAAGACAAACAGAAATTATTTCCCTCCAAATTCAGAAGTCACTTACATTTCAACACACATCAGCAAACTTTTTGCCATGCACACATTGCAATTGTATATGTAATAAATGGCTCTCTACACATGATAGTTTTTAACCTGTTTTTCTCTGTACATAATGTGAGTGAGTGTGTGTGTGTGTG